CTTTATAATGCCTCACGGTGGTAAGTTTCTGTACTGAGATCAATATTTCAAGCAAATTGATTAGCTCACTTTTCTAAGGGTTAGAACATTTCAAATCTATCTTTTCCCACCACTGATTGAATGAACATGAACTATAAAGATAGTTTTATTTGCGTTCCTTGTCATTTTAACTAATATATTTAACGTCTATTCACCAGGGTACCGTATGGCAGCTGAATGTGCTAGAAGTGCATTGCTGGGGAAGGTTGTGGATAATAAACTTGATGCAGGTGATTAAATCTGCCTGTCTGCCCTGTGCTTCTCATGGTTGAAAGCTGTTATTGTTTTTATGCTTGACAAAATCTTGTGGAGTGTTATCATCATAGTTTTACATTTAACACATCAATTTACAATCAATTATTTAACAAGCAGTATTCATGCACTTGGATTTGCATTTTTGCTCTATGCCGACTAAAATCAATTACTAAATTATTTCTCTTGTAATGATGGTTGTAGAAAAAAAAAAGAAAAAAGAAAGAAAACAAAAGATGAAAGTAAAATGGTTTTACATTATAAAGTTCGCAGAAAAAGAGTGACCTGGGGTGGATACAGTTATATCCAACACTATCGTGGGGTCTGATTCTGTTCTTCCACTTTCAGATAAGTTCCAAGCAGACTTGATGAAGATTGCAATGACTACTTTGAGTTCCAAAATTCTGTCTCAGGATAAAGAACATTTTGCAAAACTAGCTGTTGACGCTGTTATGAGGCTGAAGGTATGATGAACAGAGGAAGTACTCATTAGAAACCTGGAGTGTGTGTGTTTTTTTTTGCTCGGTTACTAATTTATCCCGTTCATCTAAGTCTGTCATCACTATCGTGAAAGTTTTGTGTTAAATTTTTTTACTGTTGTATCACTTTTTATAACAACTCTTTGCCATTATTCTGAATAGTTACTGTTGCTACCAAATATCTTTGGTTAATCAAGTGAGAATGGTGTCAACAGGGAAGTACAAATTTGGAATCAATTCAGATCATAAAGAAGCCTGGCGGTTCTCTGAAAGACTCATTTTTAGACGAAGGGTGAGCCATCTGAAAATTATAATACCTAATAAATGTTATATACCATTATCCCTCTTTTTTAAGTGAGTTTTGATGTTTACTCTTTTGATTCCGTTGGACTCCTGTGTCAACTAACTTATCTAGGTCTAGACGAGCAAATTTTCAGAGTGCTATTTCCCATATTTGATGCTTTTCCCTTTAAATATTATATCAAGATCCAGCAGTATTTTGAATCTTAGTTTTGGTGGCTTCATTCTCTGAATACATCTCATCCTTTTTCTGACATTACGTATGTTCAGATTTATCTTGGACAAAAAAATTGGCGTGGGCCAACCAAAGCGTATTGAGAACGCAAAGATTTTGGTGGCAAATACTGCAATGGATACAGATAAGGTGAAAATTTACGGGGCACGTGTTCGAGTCGACTCGATGGCAAAGGTTGCCGAGATTGAAGGGGCTGAAAAGGAAAAGATGAGGGAAAAGGTGCAAAAGATAATCAATCACGGGATAAACTGCTTTGTGAACAGGCAACTTATTTACAATTTTCCTGAGGAACTATTTGCCGATGCTGGAGTACTCGCGATTGAACACGCTGATTTTGATGGCATTGAAAGGCTGGCTCTTGTTACCGGTGGTGAGATTGCATCAACTTTTGATAATCCGGAATCTGTTAAGCTCGGGCACTGCTCTGTTATTGAGGAAATTATGATTGGAGAGGACAAACTGATCCACTTTTCTGGGGTTGCAATGGGTCAGGCATGCACAATTGTGTTGAGAGGTGCAAGGTATCTAGACAATAATCAACCCCAACTGTATTATTATTAATATTGTTATTTGTTTATTTATTTATCTATATATATTTATTTTCCATTTGAAGATGTAAGAAGCAAGATCACAAAACAGGTTTATCGAGGCCTAGTTTAATACATAATCGAATGTACTTGCATTTTGGTAGACCGATATACTTTCTTATTTGTAATTGTACTCTCCTAATAATTCTATCTTTCTGTGATAGTGAATCAATTCATTTGTGTTTTTTTTTTCCCCTACTGCCAGCCCTCACATGCTGGATGAAGCCGAAAGATCGCTACACGATGCTTTGTGCGTTTTATCACAGACGGTAAATGATAGCAGGGTTTTGTTCGGAGGCGGATGGCCGGAAATGGTAATGGCAAAGGCAGTTGATGAACTTGCCAGAAAGACTCCCGGGAAAAAAGCTCATGCAATCGAAGCTTTTTCACGTGCTCTTGTGGCTATTCCGACTACCATTGCGGATAATGCTGGTTTAGACAGTGCCGAGTTAGTTGCTCAGCTTCGTGCAGAGCATCATAAGGAAGGAACCTCTGCTGGGATTGACGTCATATCGGGATCTGTGAGTAAATCAATCACATTTTTAACTCAAAATCTAACTCAAACTAACCCTCCTCAGTATTACCAATATAATTAAATAATACCAATCAATCATCCTAACACATCACATCAACTTTAATTTACTATTCATCAAACTCACATAATTTTAACTACTCGTCAATTTCAATCACATCTTTCCTACTTTTTCCTCAAATCAACTTTAATCATTTTATTTTAAATATTGTTCTAATACGAACTCAATATCCCACTCAAATTTGACCCAAACCAACTTTTTCAAAATCTAACTCAACCAACTTTTTCAAAATTAACCAAAAAATCCAGTCAAAACCAACCAAACTAAAATTGATTTATATCCAAGCAACTCCTGAGTCGTTCTTTATGTTGTTGGGTTCTATATATTCATGATTTCTATTCTAAACCTAAACGGTGGATTTTGATTGATCTCTTGCAGGTTGGAGATATGTCGGAGCTTGGTATATCCGAGTCGTTTAAAGTGAAGCAAGCTGTATTGCTTTCGGCAACTGAAGCTGCTGAGATGATTCTAAGGGTTGATGAGATCATCACTTGTGCCCCGCGAAGGAGAGAAGACAGGATGTGATCCGAAGAATGTTTTTTTTAAGGTTTCCAGTGAATTTTGAATCTTTTTTTCATTTGTTTTTTTATTTTAAATTTTGAATGTGGTGGGTGTTGTTGTTCTGCTTGTCATGGTAATGTCCCATAGTCTTCATGAGAAGAAAAAGGTTAAAACTGTTACTGCTCTGCTTGAATTTTGAGTTACTCGAAACTGTTACTTATTTTGAGATCCTCGATTATAACTCTGAAGAAAAATGTTACTATATTTATTTTGATTTATTTATGAAATTGCATGCCGAGAAGCGAGAAAAAGAAAATGCTTTAGAATAAAGTTTGTGCAATAAAAAGTGCCAATCAACTGCAAAGAGTGAGTGCCAATAATAATAATAATAATAATAATAATAATAATAATAATAATAATAATAATAATAATAAAAATATAACAACATAAAGAATTTATAGAGTGCCCAACCTGAAATCACATCAAAATAATTTCAGATCAAAATATAGGGTGATTCTACGGTCTTGTTACGGAACCATTCCGTTGGGGTTTGTAACCGTTAGATCAACTATTCACGACGGTTACATGATGATCTAACGGTTACAGATCTCGACGGAATGGTTCCATAACCTGAAATATAGGTGAGCATATGATCAAATGCATAGAGAAGTAATAAAGATTAAAATGAAAGGAACACGTTATGAGAAACTCAAGCTTATACCATAAACCTTCGTTTGCTTTACAGGATGTGATAGGATTGAATGAACTACCCAGACATTTATCAACCATTTGTTAACCTTGATATTATAACATAGTCCATACAGTACAATCAACCCAACCAAGAAACGATTTATTCCATTCCCATCACTTCAACCAAATGAGGTTGGGTTGGATTAGTCTTTCCAAGACATAACTGTTAATTTCACCTCCTAATAAAAACCCAACTCAACCATGGACCCATCACCCATAACTCTTTCTCTACAGCCTGTACATAATAATGCAAACATTAGATATAATAATCTTGTAGTTTTATTTTCCCTAAAATCATTTCAATGCAAGATTTTGTAGTTCTACATCAAGCCGGTCCCGAGAGGCTGACTGGCTCACTGAACGGCGTAGCCTCTTGGGCCGTTGGCTCACTGGGACCAAGCAACGGAAAGGGGAACCTATTGGTGATGAAGACGAGTGTGAGCTCTGGCTGGATGGCGAGCCAGGATAATACAGGTTGCCGGTTATTGATCTCCTTATTTGGTTGTTTACGAGCAAGGATGAGATGGACTCTGCCATTGCCCGTTTCTTGGTGGCTTCGTCAACGTATAGAAGATCGTCGATTCTTGATGTTAAGTTGAAAGCTAAGCTCTCAAGTACCCTCGAGTAGCTCTCGAGGATCGACTGCCCCACATCCTGAGATATTATGGATGAGGTGAAAAGGTTTAGAACGATTTATTACCTATGCGAATAAGCGAAAAGTTACTTAATGTACCTTGTTATACTGAATCTTGTTCATGTCCAGAGTGGTTTGGGGGAGACCGGGAAAGTGCAACTTTAAGTTCTTTAGGACGGTTTCTGCTCGGTGTGCAAAGAGTTTACTCTTTTCAGAATCACAGATGAAGCCCTTCATAGTGTTTTCCCAAAACGAAGCTGACCTCGTATGAGTCAGTTTCTTCTTTCGACATTTCGATCTCCAGAAGTGTAGGGCGCTTTCGATCCTATTTGCTATCTCCAAGGTACTGTATTCTGATGAAAGGTCGAGGTAATCGAGAAGACAATCAGGGGAGAACTGATCGGCGGTTAGGTAATGGTGGAGGATTTCACCTAAACAAGCCTTCTCATTCTGGAAGAAACAAAATAAAACGTTAAAAATCTTACAGAAACGGTGGCCTATAATCATATATTTCACCAAGTAAATGAGCGGAACACGAACAAACATAGCTCTTTCGACCGCACACCTACTTCTCCATTAATATTGCATTTGCATAGAATGACAAACCGAAAACCACATATGTGACAAATTACCATTTTCACATTCTAAATGTGGCTTAGAAAGTTAAAGATCCATTTTGAAATCCGCCAGTTCCTTCACTCCAATTGGACAAGGAATAAATGAGGACGTATTCCTATCAAACGAGAGCAACCAAGATCTAGCTATGAGAGACAGGACACATCTAAACAAATTTTCCTTATCATAATTTCAGTCCCCATAATTATTTGGGTCGGCAGTTATAGTCTGGCAATGTTCGACTTCAACAATACGTCCTCTTCTCAAGTACCTTTCATACACTTTCGTTGTTTTGGTATCTTCGGGCATTTTGTGAGTAGAAACATTAAAACACCCATTTGGTATTAAAATTGCAAAGGTCTTAAAACTTAAGAGGAAATAATCCTGATTAACCGGAAAAACTTAAATTCCGTACCTTGGGCAAGTTGTCTGAGTAAACCTGCGGAACCTCCATCTCCGAGAGCACGCCATTGTTGATGGCCACAGCCGCCTTGAAAATCTGCTGCGTGCACTCCCTGCACTGCCCCAGCCGCTTTCTCATCTCCTCCGACAATCCCCTTGCAGGAACTTTTGGGAAGGGCAACCACCACTTCTCCTCGAGTTCCGACGAAGGACACGCCTCGATGTGGTCCCCACCAGCAACAAACACACCTCGATCGACATAGTAAAACTCGGCATCTTTGAACCCATCCAAGATGCTCAACAGCATCCCGTCGAGCTTCTTGAGAGCCGGGAGGTTTGAGTACAGGTCAGATCTCTGCCGAGTCACCATGATCTCGAAGCTGGAGCCACCTGGAACTTCCTGCACAGACGGGATGAGCTCGACTATGGAGTCGCTAACGCAGAGGAGCCACTCCATCTCACGCTGCCACATGGATTTTTTCTGTTGGGATAGTGGCTCCAGCTTCCAGATGTCTCCAAAGACACTAGCTGCAAGATTAGTGATTGCATTTGAAATTGCTAGAGCAGTACTCACTCCCTGGCCTCCACCGGACATGTCTTCTCCCAGCAACAGTTTCGAAAATCGTTCTTTCATCATTTCGGCTTCTGCAGAGTCACAAAAATCACAATCCACATCCTAATTAGAAAGCATAAATGCACTAGAGAACAGCAAAGCTCAACTCTGTTAGATTACATATAATCCCGGGAAGATATTTCAAATTTGAATGCCTAGAGATGCGATTGGAGGTCTACGTCTCCTTTTCCGAGTTGCCATTTTTGCAATATGATGTATAACAATATACTACCACCGATTGACTACAGATCGATTACAAAATCGCAGCAAGATAAATTGCACAACCCATTCAGGATAATCGAAAAGGCGAAAAAATAGAGTCGGTTTTGCAGTCGAAATTGAAGACCTGAAACTCACCGGTCAACTCGGACTGCTCAGGTTCATCTCGATCCACCTTTTCCCCTGGGAAGACGACGTGCCTGCCACCCACAACCGGCAGCATAATCGGCGGCGGCAGCAAGCTATCGGAGCGGGAAGGCGACGCCAGCCGGCGGCCGGAGGAAAAGGTGGCGCCGCTCGATGTTGAGCTCTCCGACTCGCTGACGTCGGCGCTCAGGCTGTAACCGTCGTCAAAACGGCGCGACTCCAGCTCCAGGTCCTCGAATTCACAAACGGATCTCGTAATCAATCCTTTACCTACCATCTCCCAATTTCTATAGCTCCTCTTCGCGAAACTGAATATCAAACCAAAATTAACCAAAAAAAAAAAAT